AGGGAACACGTGAAAACAAACTGGTCCAGGACGAGTTCAGAAAAAGAAACGTCGCTCGGACAAATGTTTTATAGTATAATGTCATCAAATATTTGTTTTAGATTAAAAACAAGTTACTGTAGATGAAGAGACCCCTAATGGACGACTGAGGTACTGACTTGTGTCATCCAGTGTGTGGTTTATTGTGAAGGAGATTCACGCGGACTCCACCGTGGCCACGAGACTTTGACATACTTTAAAAGCTTGACATACTTTCACGCAGAGAGGCCTCCCGGCTCGTGACACACTTCCTGCCGTCGTCGCGCTCTGACTTTGACGCTCGCTCTTCTTCTCTTTGTTCCAGATGCTTCAACGAGGAGAGCTGCCTGTCCCTCAAACCACTGGAGGGCTACCTGGTGGTGCTGCAGCCCGACGCCCCACAGATCTCCCTCTCCGGGGTCGGACCTCATTTGGCTCGTCCTGCTCCTGAGTTCGAAAGCCCCCGCGGCGTCCCCCTGTTCCCTGAGCTCCGCATCGTCTGCTCCCTGTCCCATGCAGTAAACACAGCTGCGCAGGGGATGGAGGGTGGAGGTGGGTGGTGTCAACAGCTGAGACAGTGTGTGGTTCCTCCTAATTCCTAGTATCGGTTTCCTCTAACGTTTCTGTATTTCTGGTTCTCGTTCCGTCTCTTAGCTCTGATGTCCGACGCTGTGGCCCACACCCTGGACGGCTGTGAAGTCCAGCCGCTGGGAGAGGAGTTGAACCCAGAGAGGGAGGAGCTTCTGGTGGACATGGATGTGGTGCGAGAGCGAGGATTGGAAATCATCAACACCACGGCTTATATCGCCATCACAGGTACAGGCTGTGAAAAGGAAGTTCTCAAAAAAGAATATCGTCTCCTCCTCCTCAGGTTTCCAGTACTGATCCGTCGTCTTCTCCTTTTTTGTTCTTCTCTTCGATGTTTCTTCCAGGCGCTGAGTCCATCTCCGTGTATGAGGACGTCCTTCGCTCCGTACGCTACCGAATGTCCAAAGGCTCGGCTCGCTTCGAGAGGCGGTTCCGCCTGTCCTGCTCAGAGATGAACGGCCGGTACACCAGCAACGAGTTGACTCTGGAGGTGAAGCCAACGTCACCACCACTCAGTCCTCAGGACACCGTGCTGTTCTGTGTGAGAACCTTCTGACCATGTTCTCCCCTCCTCCCCCTGCAGGTGAACTTCCTCCACTCTCTGGACAGTCTCTACCACCCGTCCCACCTCCTGGCCTCCAAGCAACAGTTCCTTCATCCATCCCACCATGCTGGGGAGTTGAGTGGACACAACCTGCCAAACCCCCAGCGTAACTCAGGTAACCCCCCCAGAGTGATGACCCCCCCAGAGTGGTGACCCCCCCAGAGTGGTGACCCCTCCCAGGACTCACTCCCCAACACTTCTCATAACACATTTTAGTTCGCTTCAGGACTTCAGGATAGTTGGATGGATGGTAGTCGTCACTATTTTAAGGCCATAAAATATTTTTTTACGACATCACTTCAGTGTCTTTGTCGTTCCTGGCCCGGGAGCCTGAAGTGAGAAACCGTCCGTCGTCTTATCAGTAGAGCTCAGACGAACACTTCAGATGAAGGGCTGCAGAAAGTCTTTGAAGTGAGAGTGTGTCGGACGGTGGCGCGTCAGGAAATTAATTTACGTTACGCTACATTTTCTGAGTCGATTGAACAAAAAAGTGAAGCCACAAAAAGGCAGATGTTTGTGGAGGTGAAGCTCTGCAGTGACTTCAGGAGGGGGCGCTGTTTAGTCGAAACAGATTCATGATTATTTAATAAATATTCCACAATTATAAATATAATTGATGCATTAATTAATATCCATAGATGAATCTACATTACAGTTTTTATGACCTTTGTCTGGTGTAAAACAACATTAGCTTTAAAAATGTATTAATGTTAATACTTTTAGGTGACTGTGAACTCATTTCTGTGATTTCTCTTTGAATTCGTTTTTTCCCTGAACGCTCCACGGCGTCCCTGACGGTGTCTCCGTGTCTCGTTGTCTCTGACAGTCATACCAGGAGCCGCCACTGTCATCATAATGGTGTGTGTGGGTTTCCTGGTTGTCATGGTGATCCTGGGCATTTTCCGAATCCGCTCCATCCATCGTCGTGTGGAAAGTGCCAGGGGCGGGGCTAAGGAAGGCAGCAGCCAATGGGACGACTCAGCTCTGACTATTATCGTCAACCCAATGGAGGTAAGAAAAAAAAAAGGTCAACAGACGAACTGTGAACCTCATCAACTGAAATTGTTCTCTTCAATAACAGAGTACAACCAATGTTTATAGGAGCATACTGCCACCTGCTGTACTGGAGTACGTAGTGTCATGGTCTGACCAGTGACTTCTGGAGCTAACTCAGTCTACTCCTTACACCTTGATACACCATTCATTTTTAATTTAAACCGATGCGAATTGTCACGCATTTGTCTCGATTTTTAACTGATTCACGATGCGTCGTTACGCCCGCGCTGCCTGATCATCTCTCGTTGAAATCTACCTACACCGTTTTTTATTACAGTCGTACGAATCTCGCATGGGAATCAGCGCTGACACCGAGGCAGAGGCGGAGGAGGATGAGGTCGCAGAGTCACCCGATGATGCTAGCGATGACCAGCGAGTCATCATCAAGAAAGAAGCGAGAGACGCCAACGCCCGTCGCTACTGAGCCACGCCCACCTCTGCACCAGTTCTCATGGAAACCATGGTCCAGCTCACCAGTCACACTCTTCACTTTAAAAACCAACGACTGCTGACACCACCAGTGCAAGGAATGTATGCTGAATCACCACACACACACACACACACACACACGGCCGAGAGCTCGACACTCATCATGTGACCTATAGCCCACAACGAGCCGTTGTTTCCACCTTAGATGTTAAATAGCACAATATACACAGTGATGTAATTTAAATGCCTGAGCAGAACCAGTTCAAAGTAACACGACGGTCATGTGACGTTTGCCGTCGTACTGGTTTGAAGAGACTTTTATTGATGAATATATTTAAAAAAAAAAAAAAAGAAGATTGTATTCTGTTTTTATTTTAGAAATGCAAATAAACTGTACAAATAAACCTGGAAGAATCCGCAACAGCCGCCAAACGATCGGAACCACGAGCCTGGAACCCGACGGGTCTCTGTTCTGACCTGAAGGGAGAAGTCTGTGCACGAGCTCCGTCCTTCCTGTGTGCATCTGAACTTCACACCTTCCTGTAAAACAGAGCGACTTCAGATTAGTCACGACACGTCATTATTTTACCTTCACTTCTTCACAATATCAAACCTGATAAAAGTTGATAATTAGTTCTGAGGACTGTGGTTCCACTCGGTACCGCTAAACTACTCCAACAAAAGAGACCTTTCTTTTGAGTTCTGGAACATCACTGTCGACATTTAGAGGTGACCACACCTTCAGCCCCCGCCCCCTATTTTCCCAGTGACCTCTAGAATGTCTCTTCAAGACTCACTGTTTCCCACAATGCACACTGGTCTTTATGATGCGTACAGGAACGCCACTTAAACACACACACACCCCGTCACTGTAACTCGCCCCTGCGCTCTCTCTCTCTCTCCACAGTGTCAGCTCAGCTTGGGCAGTTTTGATTGTATGGATTGTAATAAAGTTCTATAAATAATGAATATTACTGTTATATAATTGTTATTACTATTGTTATTGCCGCTGCCACTCGTTCTCCTCTTCTGCGCACTTTGACAGGGAGCAGATAACGATTTGTTTTCTCCTCCATTCCAGGAACCGCCGTTTTAGTATCAGAACACAGTATATCTATGATAATAATTACGGTAGTAGTAACACGGATGATAATCCCTGGCTTGACGAGTGTACCTTAAGTTGTGTGTAAAATTGTTGTAATTTAAGATTCATCTGAATGACAAAAAAAAAGGAGTGCACCTAGTGGTCAGACTCGCTCGCTGCATCTTCCACACTTCCACATACGTTGTGCATTCTAGAACTTTTTTGAAAAGTTTTTTATATTTATTTTACACTCCATGATAAAAAATATAAACTTAGATTCAATGAATGTACAACTTTTTGCTTCTCCCCCTTCTCCCCCTTCTCCCCTGTAGCCTATAAATGTGTGCAGTGCTGAACATGTCAGAAAATAAAGCCTGTCGTTTTTGACTGTGATGTTAAGAAGGAATAAACTGCATTGATTGATTACTTAAACGATCTGACTGTTGGGACAATACCTGGAGTTATTGACACACAAGTGACATGGATTGGGCACAAAAATAAAAAGTAAAACCTGTGAAACATCTATTATTTAAGTAGAAATTAAGTAAAATTAAGTAAAAAAAAAGTTCCATACGAATTCCAGACAGTGTAGAAAATGGGAAGTAAAAAAAAAGTTCCATACGAATTCTTTTTTTTTTTTTTTGGAAAAAATAATTTGCTCGTCAGATTTAATTGTTTATTGTTAGAAACTTTTGAAATTATGATAAATATCTGAATTTCCAATTTTTTGGATTCTATGTCGTAAAGATTTGATTCCTGAAATCCGTAAAATCTTACTGTAAAAATGAAGGTTTTACTCTTAAATTACCACACACATCCCCTGCAGTACCTCCACAGACCTCCTAGAGGTCAGGTGTTCTCCATTGAAGAACCGTGTACAGAGCTTCAGTGAGTCGTTGGTTTTTACTCCTCTATTAAAACGTGTTTTTTTCGCTCGTTTGTATAAACTGTACGAAGGTATTTTTAACTGCTGCTCTGCTGGTGTCTTAAATTAATAGAATATTAAATTGTTGTAATATTAAGAATCTGCCGCCTGATGCTACATGTTATATATACATACATAGTCATCAGGTCGGACGCGTAAAATCGCAGGATTTTGATATTTTACTGATAGATATCGTCCGGTGACGTCGCTAAATAAAACACTATTTGTTTAAATGACGTATTCGACAAAATGCAGTGAAATCGTTCAGCGCATGCGCCTCCCTGCGAATGTAGACACATTATGTTAGGGGGTGGGCATATTGCCACAACACTTGTCCTTGCTACGTACAATCGTTCGGGAATAGGAAACCTCCGAAATGTTAAGTGAGAAATGGGTTTTGTGGGTAACGGAGAAAAAAGGTAAATAAAAGAGGACCTCCGTCAACGCACGACAACTGGTTTGACGCGGTTCCCGGGAGGTTTGTCGTGGAAACGTGTGTCCTGCTTCGCCTGGAAACTCGGAGGGACAGAGACGCAGAAGGAGGCGTCGATTCGGCTCCAGCTGCAGCATCTGACGGCGGCGAGACGAGCAACACGGTACGGTCTGTTCACGCTGCGCGGTACACTGGCCCCGCTGCAGCTAGCTGCGACTGCTCATCGTCAGCAACAACAACAACAACCAACATTTTTAGTCTTTTTCACAGGTGTTTCACAGCCAGCGGTGAGAAATAGTCATAGTTTATTCGTTTTGACTTAAACTGACCAAGCTAATGTACCAACATGGTCACCGTTAGCTCCGAGCACTGACACACACTGACATGGTGAGAATATTCAGGTAAAAAAAAACCCTGAGTTAGCAGCTGGCTTTACTAGCCGTGATTTCACGAGTGAATAATAAACTTTAAAATGACAGACAACGGATGTGGCTGTAAGTGAGCAGTGAGATCGTCCCGGTGGCCTGACCGTGACAGCGGTATGGTTTAATATCGGTGTAATCCTCTTAAACTGTGACCCGTATTATCGTCCTGCAGCTGGTTGACAGAACAAAACGGCACAAAAGAGTGTACGAATAAAAATGACTCAGTTTTCACTCTTCGTCATCGTATTATTTATGAGGATTTATTCCAGATAAATCTCTTAGGCCAGAGTGGACATAGGTTAGCATGTGTTCATTCCCAGGTCAAAGTTGACGAGTTATAATCGAGTATTTCTGCGAGGTTAGCTAGGTTATGTACGTAGAAGGTTGTTATATTGTTTTATTGTTGTGTTACTTTTAAAATTATAGAATACAAACATGTTTTTGGTGAGTAATCGGAGCTCAGCCCATTGGTCCACTGCTGTGATGTCATATTGTCATTAATTATGACTTTGTTTGTGAAAAAACAAATGACTGATGGACATTGATTTTTTTTTTCCGGAGTCTGTCTGACCTTTGTAGACGTGGCTGTTTACGTTGATTTTTTTCGGGAGTCTGTCTGACCTTTGTAGACGTGGTCATGATCCGGTCTGTAGTGGGTCGTGGACCTGAACCTCCCTCCAACCCAGACCAGTGCAGGCGAAGAGCCAACACATGGTGAAACAAATTGTCCTCTCCTTTTTCCAGCTTTGATTGGGTCGGCCACATCCTTGTGTTGCCATGGCGATGCGAGAGCTGGTAGAGGCAGAATGTGGGGGAGCCAATCCCCTCATGAAGCTGACCGGTCACATGACCAAGGAATCAGGGGCATGGCGGCATCGCTCAACCCCTACTGTAAGTCATCTGTCCAGACAAAACAAATATCCCAACATGGCCGCCGTTAGGCCGCTGATGATTTATTATTTCCTCCCGTTTGACCCAGATCCCGCCCACTCCTGTTGAACTTGCAACAGAAGAGGAGGTAAGTGCAATTAATTAAAGGTTGTTGCACCTACTGTATGCAATATCTTTACAAAAAAACACAAAAACTAAAGTATCACCTTTAGATGAACACAAGTCACACCCTGGAACATTTGTGGTTGCAGCTGGTGAATGAGTTCCTTCAGTCTCCTCAACGATCTGCCCACACCTTCGACATGGGGCAGCTGCTGGAGGAGATGCAGCAGATTGACCAGCAGAGCTACAGACAAGCTCCACAGAGAGGTACGCGCTCCTCAGGTCATGGCCGCCATCGTTGGCTTCAGCGCCCTGACACCTGTGTTTACGATCCGTTGTTGACGTTTTCTTTACGTTCGTGTCGTAGCTCCAGATGTGGCAGCGTTGGCGCTCTCTGGTGATTGGGCGGCTGAGTTCCACTCCGGTTCTGACTCAGGAGGGCTGCTCAATCTTGGTGACACAGCAGATGCTGATTGGACGAAAGAGTTTATTGCCGTGGCTGGAGGTAGCCTGACTTTGTTTATTATTTCGTACGTCACGATAAAGACATGTTTGAAAATGAATTATGACGCGTAATGGATGTTCAATCTATGGGTCGGCTATATTCTCTTATATAATAAATATTATGGGTTAAGATGTTCCAATTATATTGCATTTATATGCAGATGATTCTGTCCTTTACATGAAAATGCTGCAAGAACGTCAGAAATTGGGTTTAAATAAATTCTGATTGAAAATCTGTCAACGTTATAAACTTTTAGACACGTTATTTTTTTATTTGTCTTTAATTCTTCCTGACGCAGAAGTAAATGTGATTTGGATCAATTCTCATTTAACTTTTTACAACGAGCTCCTTTTGTTGAACGTCCAGATCCAGGACGCTGGGCGGAGGAGTATCTGGAGCAGTCGCAGGAGAAGTTATGGCTGGGAGACCTGGGAGACAAGGAGAATGAATGGTTAGAACGCAGATGAAAAATGACTCGAATAAAACCACACGAGGGACAAAGTACACGTTTAAAACTTGAATATTAACTTTTTTTAAGAACAGCTTCAAACTGTGACAACTTTTGAAAGACTTTCAAAGGCAAAAACTTTAAGATGTCACTCAGGATAAACCCGTTCTTCTAAACTCTGACACGTATTTGTTGTATAGTAATGTAGTATTTGAGTACCAGTATTGAATTACTAAGTATTGGTACTGAACAACAGTGTTCACATGAGACGTTAACTGTAGATCTGGGTTGTCACGTGTCTCAACCAAATAGGAACATCTGGGTCGCGGCTAAGATTGCTGCAGCTCTCACATGAACCAGAGCAGAAAACTGAAAAAGAAGAAAAACTTTTTAGTTTAAATCTTGTCCAGATGGTTAAAAAGAGTTAATAAGAACCAACTTACGATTTTTTTTCCCATCACTGATGTTCATGGAGTCAGAATTATCACTTATGTTTTATCAACACTGTTGATGCAAATAAATCCCAAACCAAACATTAAATACTTTTTAAAGAGAAGTGCAGAAGAAATATTTCAGTTTTGAATTTCATGATTGATCCCAGTTTGAATCTAAAATCTGTTGAATTCTGCTCCTCTTACAGGACAAAGGAATATCAACCAGAAGAGGAGCTCAGACAGACGGCCAATGAGCTCGTCTCAAAGGTCGACGACCCCAAGTTACAAAACACAAAGGTGAGCAGTGTGTGTGTACGTTGAGTACACATTTCTGTGGTTTCCATTTGTTGAAAACTTCAGTCTGTTTACGTTTCTGTCTCGTTTTTTATCTTCTTCCCATCAGTCAACTTTAAGCCTTTTGGTTTATGTTACTNGGGGAGTTGGCTCACAAAGCAGTTTGAAATATGTCACTGTAACCTGAGCGTTGAGTAACGGCACCGGTAACGGCTTTTCTGTTGTCATCTGTCTCCCGTTGTTGTGTAGTTCCTGCGGTTCGTTAGGCAGATTGGCGAGGGCAGTGTCACAGTGGAGAGCAGAACAGACAGACAGCTCTCAGATAAGGCTCAGGCCGCGGAGGCTCAAAACTGGGCCTCCAACCTCCACCAGGTACGAGCCACCGGCCACTG